GTGGATCACCTGAGGTCAGGAGTTCGACACCAGCCTGGCCAACATGGCGAGACCCCGTCTCTACTAAAAACACAAAAATTAGCTGGGCGTGGTGGTGCACACCTGTAATCCCAGCTACTTGGGAGGCTGAGACAGAAGAATCGCTTGAACCAGGAGGTGGAGGTTGCAGTGAACTGAGATCACACCACTGCACTCCAGCCTGGGTAACAGAGCAAGACTCCGTCTTGGAAAAAAAAAATTCCATTGTATGGATAGGCTACATTTTGCACATTTTGTTTATCCATTCATTTGTTGATGGACATTAGGGTTGCTTCACCTTCTGGCTATTGCAAATAGTGCTGCTATGAACATGCATGTACAGTATTTTGTTTGAACTTTTTTTTTCTTTTTTTGGGAAGAGACTCACTCTGTTGCCCAGGCTGGAGTTCAGTGATGCAATCATAGCTCACTGCAGCTTCCAACTCTTGGGCTCAAACGATCCTCCTGCCTCAGCCTTCCAAGGAGCTGAGACTACAGGTGTGCGCCACCACGCCTGGCTAAATTTTTAATTTTTTGTGGAGACGGGATCTCCCTATGTTGTCCAGGCTGGTTTTGAATTCCAGGACTCAAGTGATCCTCCTGTCTTGGCCTCCCAAAGTGTAAGAGATTACAGGCGTGAGTTACCATGCCCCGCCTGACAATCTGTGTTTAATTTATGGAGGAACCACCAAACAAAATCTGTACGTGTGTGTGTGTGTATGTATATGTGTGTGTGTATATATCTTGACCTCATGATCCACCCGCCTCAGCCTCCCAAAGTGCTGGGTTTACAGGGGTGAGCCACTGCTCATGAGGCCCCGATCAAGCTGCCTGTTGTCTCCTGCCTCACCTCCTCCTCTTGCTCTCCCCCACTCCCTCTTGCTTCAGCCACTCTGGCCTCTTTGCTGTTCCTTGAACAAGCCAGGCACACCATCCTCAAGGCTTTTGCATTTACTGTTCCCTCAGCCGCCAGAGACCTGCCAGCCTCGTCCTCACCTGCCTTGGACTTCTACCCAGTAACCAGCCCCTCCAGCATCCCCATCACCCTTACGCTGCTTTCCCTCAAAGTTATTAATGACTTTTCTTGTCTTTGTCCCCACTAATATGTAGTTTCATTAAGAGCAGGAATTTTTTTTTTTTTTTTTGAGACAGAGTCTCACTCTGTCACTCAGCCTGGAGTGCAGTGGTGCAATCTCGGCTCACTGCAACCTCCCCATCCTGGATTCAAGCAATTCTCCTGCCTGAGCCTCCCAAGTAGATGTGATTACAGGCGCCCACCACCACACCCAGCTAATTTTTGTATTTAGTAGAGACGGGGTTTCACCATGTTGGCCAGGCTGGTCTGGAACTCCTGACTTCAGGTGATCTGCCCTCCTAGGTCTCTCAAAGTGCTAGGATTACAGGCGTGAGCCACCTCGCCCAGCCATTAGTCGTATTTCTTGTCTGTGTCCCTACTAATATTCGGTTCCATTGAGAGCAGGAATTTTTTTGAGACAGGGTCTTGCTCTCTTGCCCAGGCTGGAGTGCGGTGGTGCAGTCACAGGTCAGTGCAAACTTGACCTTCCAGGAAGCAATTCTCTCACCTCAGCCTCCCAAGTAGCTGGGAGTACAAGGCATGCACCATCGTGCCCAGCTAATTTTTGTATTTTTTGTAGAGACAGGATCTCACTATGTTGTCCAGGATGGTCTCAAACTCATGACCTCAAGTGATCCTCCTGCTTTGGCCTCTCAAAGTGCTGGGGTTACAGGCATGAGCCACCACGCCCAGCCGAGAGCAGGAATTTTTGCCTGTTTTACTCACTCCTGGGTCTCCAGTGTTTAAAATAAGCTTTGGCACACAGCAGATGTTTGAAAAATAATTGTGGGTTTTGGGGGGGTTGTTTTTTTAGTTTTTTAGAGACAGGGTCTTGATGTTTCCCAGGCTGGAGTGCAGCAGTGCAACCATAGCTCACTGCAGCCTCGACCTGCTGGACTCAAGCAATCCTCTCCTCTCAGTCTCCTGAGTGGTTGGGATTACAGGTATGCACCACCACACCCAGCTAATTTTTTAATTTTTTGTCGAGATGACGTCTTGCTGTGTTACACAGGCTGGTCTCTAACTTCTGGCCTCAGGTGATCCTTCGGCTTTGGCCTCCCAAAATGCTGGGATTACAGGCAAGAACCACTGTGCCCGGCCTCAAAAAATATTTGTTAAAAGATTAAACAATGGAGATCAAAAGAGAAACAGGAGGAGAAAAGGAAGAGATAAAGGGAAGGACACAGGGGGCACTGCGACTAGGGAACTGGAAGCTGTGGGGCACGGGGGCAGGGGAAGGGGACCAAGGTGGAAGAACGTGTTGGGGTGAGATAAGTGTGGAGGAGAGAAGAAAGAAAATGAGCTGGGGCTGGGCACAGCGGCTCACGCCTGTAATCCCAGCACTTTGGGAGGCTGAGGCGGACAGCTCACTTGAGGTCAGGAGTTCAAGACCAGCCTGGCCAACCTGGTGAAACCCTCTCTCTACTAAAAATACAAAAATCAGCCAGGCGTGGTGGTGCGTGCCTGTAATCCCAGCGCCACTGCATTCCAGCCTGGGTGACAGAGCAAGACTCCATCTCCAAAAAAAAAAGAAAAGAAGAGAGAGAACGAGCTGGGGACAGACAGCAATAGGGAGGCGACAGAATGAGTCAGAGAGATAGAGAGTGGGAGAGAGAAACAATACAAAGAAACACCAGAAAGACACACAGGACACAGAAAGATTGATATGCAGAGAGACAAACACAGAAAGAGAAAAGAGCCAGGACACACAGAAACAAGGAAATGAAAAAGTAGGAAAAAAATGGGGCTGGGAGAAGAGAGATGAAAACCAAAGAGAGGGGGGCCATTGGGAACCGAAATGGAGGGACTCCCCCTCAAACTCACCATTTGCTGGTGGCCAGGGCTTTGGACTGACTTGCTATCCCCAGAGGATCGCAGCTGGGGCTTTTAAACTCTGAGGGACAGAAGTGGTGGAGACAGAGAACATGTGACATCATTCTCAGGGCTTGAGATCACCAGTTTATTTATTCCTCAGAGCAAGTCTACGAAGCAAGTACCATTAGCATCTTCATTCTACAGAACTACACAGGCAGGGCCAGGCACAGTGGCTCACGTCTATAATCCCAGGGCTTTGGGACGCCAAGGCAGGAAGATCACTTAAGCCCAGGAGTTCAAGACCACCCTGGCTAACATAGTATGAGACCCCATTTCTATTAAAAAAAAAAAAAGTTTTAAAAATTCAAATAAACTTTAAGGCTGGGCGCAGTGGCTCA